TGAGAAAAACAAGCGCTGTGTTCGATTTTTATCCAAAATAAGATGTAACATTTTATTACCAGGCATTTCAAATTAGTATCTCAACAATTTTATTCATTTGTGTTTTGGACTTTACAAATGTTTTCTTTTGTTTAAGTACAAATGTTTCATTTTATTCAAAGTAAATACTTAAATCTTAACTTAAGTGGTTATTATTATTATTTTTAAGTTATGTCCATATTTTACATAATGTTATATTGATTTCTGTATTATCCAGCATCTTAATTTTTATTTTAGTGGAACCTCCGTTTTTATTTTAGTGGAACCTGGAATTGTGGCCGGCATGTTGGATTGAGCGTCGGCCACGAGGTGTCTACACAACAATTTATAATGGTCGACTGGCAGTCCACGACCACAGCCAACAAACAAACAAATAGTCAAACACCGGGAACGAAAGGACGAAAGTGGCGAGAAAAAATACGGGATAATAGCGCCAGACGGCTGCAGTGCCATTTCTCAAGCTCAAGCACCGGACCAAGTGACCGAACGACCCAACGACCGACTGCCCGTCAAGTCGAGGACTCGGAGACACTTGGACTTTTGGACACCGGGACATGGCCCCTGAGTTGGGTCTTTTGGTCAAGGGATGGGGGTGGGGCACCACCAGCCGATGGTTCCGGACTCGCAAGTGCCCAGGTGAGTGACCAGTTGTTGTTTGCTCTCCGCAGTCACTTCGCAAACTCGGCTTGTCCATATTGATGGGTTCCGATGGAAGGTGTACACTCAACTGTATCATTTGCAAACTTACTGAAATCAATATAGCTGCAGGAAAAATTAAATTCATATTTAATTGAGAGTGTTAGCTTACTCCATATTTTTAAGCCAAATAGATCTTTACCTGTTAAAGGGAGTTTTAGTTTGATTTGTTAAATTAGGTTTTAGATAAGGAAGAACACTATTGAGTTTAAGTTAAACTCTGAATGTAATGTAGTGTCAGAGTTCTTGATATTCATATTTAGTTAATATATAGGTCTAAAAATGTGGGTCGATTTAGATCGACAAAAATCGCAGGAGAAGAATTCATTCCATCGACAATTCTAAACAATAAATATTAAAGCACCAAACACGGATATACACAAAATTTAAAACCATTTTTTTTTTTTTTTATTAAGGCTTCTTGTACAAAGTATTACTTTATTCGTAGAAATATGTATGCCATTTAAAATCGGGTTAAAAATCCCCATGAATGTTTCTATTAGTTTATTTGCCAATATGGCGTTGAAGACTCTAAAGATTATGTCCGGCCTACGAATGGTCGTTTTTCCTCGGGTCCTGAATGGACACATTCAATTGTCTGACTCCAAAGAAATACCAAAGCTGATGATGCAATTCTATTTAAACCAATCTGCAGTTGTTTCATTTCATTTATGATATATGCTCTCAATTCCTTCTGTCGATAGCCCTAAGGCAAAGTTGATTGTTAAATAAGAATTGAAAAGCAGTCGAGCCGAAATTCTCGATACTCTTGTGTGTTATGGGGAACGTGGACCCATAAATAATCCGAACGGACTTGGCCTTGGATGGGTGCAGTGGAGGAGAAGCCATCGACATCGGTGATATTTATTGAGCAGTGCTATTGATATTTTAAACAAATGTTCCGTGACATAGAAAAAACATTTCAGCAGATACATGCGAGTGCATTGATGCCAGCATGTTGCTATGGTCGATGTGAGTTGTTTTTGCTTTGGGGATTGAACCATTTTTCCTGACATCGTTATTGTCGCTGTGCACCTGCCAACGGACCTTGTTTTCTTTTTTTCCTTTTTTTCGAGTGAGCAATGCAGAAGGGGAAAAACAGAATAAAACCGAATTCATTTTTTATGAAGACAAAATGGTTTCCAAGTCTCAGCTGTCCGACTTTAAACACCGCCCAAAGTCGGATTGCATTGGAAGCTTTGTTCCGGGTAATTAAAAATTTGATTGCATTGCGAGCATTGTTTTCGGGATATTTAAAAGTCCTTGGTATGGAATTTGTGTAAATATTGAAAACAAAATTAAATTCTTAAATCTATTTAAAAATAAAGCTTGATTAATGGTAAATAAGACTTGATTTAATGAAATGGGATTAGTCTTTCCTGAACAACTTCATCGCTTTAATCTCTTATCAACCGCGATGATGGTTGATGTAATGCTGTAATTACCAGTGCGAAATCCTCATAATGAATCCTCCACAGTTATTTAATCTGTTTAACTGAAATTTATAAATTTTCTAACAAAAAAGGCATTATAAAAAGTAGATATAACGTCGTTTTATATATACAAGGAAATATATATAAGGAAATCGCCCATAAAAATGAGTTGCTTTTCAACTTAAACACATATATCTAAAATATATTTAAAATACAACTTCAATTTGATAAAATCGAAGGAATTAATCAATATCCGAACGATAGAAATTTATCAGCAAATCCATTTGGACTTAACACTTGAACTCTTCTATTTTTTGGAGTTCATTAAAATCTGGATTAATGGCGGTAAAAAGAATCTGGTGATTTATTTATCTTTAAAATTGTAGTTCATTTGTCTTTAAATATTTTTGGTGTTACCTTTGCGTCTTACAATCAGTGCAGAATGCAAAACCCTTTATTTGGACACATCCTTGCTTTATTCTCAACTCAACCGCGACCAAAAGTCCATCAAGTGCTGTGCTTAAGAGTGCCAAATCCTCTTAAAGAATCCTCCCCGAGCAGTTTGTGGGCCAGCCGTCTAAAGTGCGCCTTGACGAGATGCGTGGATGCGTGGCGTTCACAAAGAGGAGGAATAGCAAAGAGGAGGACCCGGGGCACCGGTGTCCTGGGCACGGTGTTCCCTGCTCGGGGCTCATTATTTCCCCGAGTAATATGCTAAAATGGGGCGAACACGCACAGGCGGGCAGACGTCTGGCTGGAGGCAAAGCGCCGGGCTGGGAAATGTTTTTAATTGAAAGGAACTTGCGAGGCGTGCCTGCACATGGGAAAGTGGCGGAGTGGCGGGGCAACTTGGCTAGGGTTAACACGGTGTCGACACTTTCCAGGCAGTGCGCCAGGTGGATGTCCCCGGCAGACCTGTCACTGCAAAATTGTTTTTAAAGCCCCACCTGGAACAGCTAATTTCCATTTGTTTTGCTTCAATTTCTGCTCTCCGTTCTGCAAAACTAATATTTGCACAATCACTTTGGCTTGACTTTAGTAAGTCAAGTGGACGCACAATCTGTTAACTTTATTTATTTTTCGACAGATTAAAGTTTATGGCTAAAGGTATTTTTAATAAATCCCAGTTATTTATATTATATTATATTATATTTACTTATAGATAATGGTATACCATTACAATTACAATTTTAATGAAAAAGAATCATAAGCATTACTTTTCTCAAAAGTTAAGAATTCATTTTTCACTAGCATTACTTTTTTAAAGTAATTGATTGACTAACCTTTCTGTTTTAATGCTAATGAAACCTGATTTTAAAAGCATTACTTTCCATTAATGATAAGGCAAATTCCTATTTAATACAAAATAAATTCATTATTAATTCCTATAGCTGTCATTAAAACAATCTAAAGAAAATTTGTTTCTTTTTTATTTTACTTTGATTTGAGGAAATAACTTCTTTTTCAAAATTTAGAGAATGATTTTACTGATTACGTGCTGTTCTCTCGGTAATCAGTAATACCAATCCAAATAGTGGTTAAACCGCCAACTTGTTTAGGCTACTATACTTTTTAGCACGCTCCATCCACGCACAGCCACAATCCCATTTACACGATTGCGAATCCATTTGGCACTGCAGCCAGTGAATTCGGGGAAAGTGGATGCTTCAAGTGGGACCTCGGAAAACGTGGAAATTCAATGGGGGCTCGTCGTTCCGAGTATTTTCCGCTGGAGGGTGAGCTCACAAATTGCGGATTTTTATGACTACCATTGTGAGACGTCTAAATATAACTAACGCAGCCGCGGATCCGCGTATCCGAGGCAGGCAGCCTGACTAACTGCCAGCCATAACACTTCAATCGCGGAATTACGACATTTATCATAATGCTTTTCGAGAACGGGGTGCTTCAAAGGGGGCGTGGAAGTCGGGCGGTGGGCGGTGGTCTAGGGGCGTGGCATGCAAATAATCCACTTGGCTGCTGCATGCATCGCCTGTTTTAAGTGTTCTCCTGTGGGAGCTGTAAAATTACGGTTTTATTCCGCAGAATAAAATATGAATTAAAATGGGTTATCAGACTCACAACATACGGAGGGGATATCTGGTGAAGTTTAATAAGAATTTAGTTCCAACTATATATATTCAGAACTTTATTCCATTCATTTAATCCCCTAGTCAAAATTTTCGATTTAAAAAATGATGTCTAATTGTTTTAAATCAGTTACCCTAATTTATGTTCCCTGTGCTTAGATAATGACCTTTAATTTGCTCAATTAATTCGTTTACTAGTTTATTAATTACGCCAAATGACTTGAATCAGTAAATCAAATATTTTACTGTTCGAATTTGGGAGTCATTATTTATTAAATGGCATTCATGGATATCGTTTAGTAATTTATGAATTACAATTTAATACCAACCTTTAATGGCTTTGTCAATAGTTTTCGAACAACTTTACTATGGGTAATTAGCTCGAAAAAGATGTGTCCAATTAATAAAAGTTCATTCAATGACGTAACTGTCCCGGCAGGATGGCCCTTCATTTATCAAGTTGCATCCTTGGCTCAGTGTCCTGCTTTGATATCTCTGTTGGTTGGCTGCAGCTGCCGCAAAACTTTTTAATGGTTAAATAAGCGATGTTGTCCAGTGCAGTTTGCTTGATGTCACTATAGGAACACAGATTTTGTACGTATTTGAACTCTTTCGGTTGGTAATTGGCTTTAAATGGCATTTGCTCATCTTGACAAAGGGAAACCTATTCTTTGCCATTTCTGAAAAATAAATTACATACCATTTAACCATTTAGCACTTATTTAAAGTAAAACAAGAGGGGTTTTGGTTGTTTACATTACAAATAATTTTGATATTTATTGTTCAAGCGTGTAAATAAAGCTTTTTTGCACTTTACTCTTTGTTTTTGTTTATATTCCTTTGTAAATAAATTGCAATTAGATATAGTTGCAATAACATTTAAGTTCAACTTCTAAGTACCACGTACTATATGTATGTATGAATATACTCTTTGGATTAGCCCGAAGAGAGGGTTAGATATTTGTACACAAACGTATCTCGTTACGGATTAAGTTAGCTTCATGTCCTCGAACTAAGTACGACTCTAAAATGCGATCTCAGCTCTATGCAGCCCTAAATATTGGTAAGTATTCGTACATAAAAATACAGTTAACACTTTGTATTGCAGTTGTATATTGTAGTTATTTAGTAGCTCACTTGTGTGCAAGACATGCATCTCATTATCTCTAAAAGTTCACGTTTTACAATATACATATATATATATAAATATAGTCCCTATATATGTGGTGTGTATATGTATTCGTTTGTCTCTCTATATGTAATTTAGAACTTATGTCACGCTTTCCCGTTGATAATATGTACAAATCGTTTGGAGAAAATCTGCATTTAGCAAATTCACGCCTCACATGTGTCACATCCTTTTCGTCGAAATAGTTTTCGAAGGAAGAACAGTTGCTACGCCCTAATCAACTATCCAAAGTTATGGTAACAATACTTGAATCTCAAATAAAGTATGTAAAGAATGTATATAGTTCCGGAAAGTTATAGGGGAGGATAGAGATGGCTAGAAAAACTTTAAAATATTATTTTGCTTTATTTTAATAACGTTAGTCAACAGGGGCTATGGATTTATATTTTTAAGAATGTTATGAGCTTTCTAGAACTACAGTTTGTTGCCTGAACTCAATTAAAAACGTATCACCCATATAAATATAGCTTAAACGACGGATAATTTTTTATAGTTGGAATTCCATCCGTAGTCTGTCGTATTCCAATATTACTTTGCCATGTGGTATAATGTGTGCTTTACCAACTACATTTTGTGGAAGAAGACTACGGCCATCTTAATTTCGTACCTACAGTTTATATTATTCTTTATACACACATTGACCGAAAATCGGATAATACTCTATTTTGGTATACAAACTTGTACGTAACGTTGAGTTGAAGTTATTTTAGCTTTCTTCTCTAAAAAAGAGGAAACTTAGGATAACTTTTTTTTAATACTGCAAATGAACCTAGCCCTTAAATCAAGTTCTGAAAACTTAAAAACTGCAAGAGCTAAACTTAATAAAAGGATATATTTCCTCTCACTTCCTTTGTTATGTTTTGGAAAACATTTTTAGATTCTATGTTACATGCAGACAATGGGCAGCCAGTAATATGTATATATATGTATTCTGTTTATTTATTTTTATTTTGACCGTAACATTTGATTTATCTACTTAAGGAAATTAACGACTTACATCAATAGTATGGAAACACTTTTATAAAGCTTGTGATCAATCTAAGTATGTTTCTGTATATATGGCATTCGGACTATGCGTATTCTATGGTAACAAGTACGACTAACTTTAGTTTGGTTAAACTTTATTTGTCTTCATATCGTTATGGGAAGATTAAAATGGCGAGTGTGCGGGGCGTTGTGTTCTGAAATTTAATCTCGCCAAGGTTTTCGTTAGTTATGGAATGTAGATAAGTTCAATGTCAGCTTTGGACCCAAAAGTGCGGTTTTCACATTACAAGTTCACGATGTCCTACACTCAAAAGGATATCTTATTTGAATTTTAGAAATTCGCCTTTAATTTTAGCTGACTTTTGATATAAGTAAAGTACAAAATTAAAAATTTACAAACTACCTCATAGGTGGTCCCATTTTCTCGTCTTTATCGTAAGCTTAAAGTAGGAATTTAAACCGAATTTTAGTTTACTATAAAGACATGAAAAGGGCCCTTCAAAACTATATGGTTTCAAAAAAAAATGTATTTTAAAAAGATGTTTATAAGTTAAGCCTCTCAAACAATTTTCTTTTCCTAATCTACTATTTTTTTTGTAATTTAGCAAGAGAACCAAATATATCTAAAGACTGCAAATTAGAGGCGAATTTCCATAATTATTTTACATGGGAGTGTTCTGGGTATTCTGCTACTTGCTACTGGTAGTTTGTGACAGATCTATTGGTAAGTACATTCTGCGGCTTTGGGACTCTGCAAGCCCATCCTCATCAGACGTCCGTTTCGGCGCTGGACTGGTTGTGATTGGAGATGGGCAGCGGGGCCTGGTGGGAGAGCTGCTTGTGCAGCGGGGGCGGGGGCTGACCCTGGCCTTGACCCTGATCTTGACCCTCCTCGTTGGGAGCCAGCAGGGGCAGCGATTTCTGCAGGCAGACCACTCCCGGCGACTGGTGCTGCGATCTCGGGCTGGGCGGCGTGGGCGTGGCCGGGATCTGGTGCCAGTTAATACTGTTCTGGGAGGTGATGTTCCTGGTCTTCCGCAGCGGCGGGTTCTTCGTCGACGTGGAGAATGCCAGGCCACGTCGCAGCGGAACTCTGCGGGTACCACGGGAACAACAGGACGGAGGACAGGCATTAGCAACGGTAGCGGTGGGTTAGTCGATGGCGATGCGGCGGAGGGCACATGGCGATTGCGATGGGGCGCAGGATGTGGGTTATGAGGGTTCACGATCGATCGATTTCAGGACGATGCACATGTGGATAGACGACAGGTCGCAGAGTTTTTTCGTTTTTTTTTTGGTTTAGAGGGGGAAGGGCGACAAAGACACAGGTTATACACGGATTACACACACAATCAGACGTGGCATGTGGGGGTCCAATCTCTAGAGACACTCACCTCGTTGGGCTCGGCGGCGGGTAGGAAATGCCGCGGTGGCTGGGCGACAACAACATGTTGCCCGAGTGGCTCGTCGTGGAGCCGGGCACGAGCAGAGTATTGTTACTACAAGTAGGACAAAGGTTATACTGTAAAGAGCACGCAGGCGGATTTGGATCCGGGTTCGGGTTTGGGTTCGGGTTCGGTCTCGGAAGTGGGGGCAGCGGAAACGCAAGCGGTGGTCGGTGACAGTAAAGGATAAAAGTCGTGTTGCCTCTGACAAAAACGCATTGCGGCAATCGCAAATAAAGGAAATAAAGATATCTTCGGGTGATAACCGAAGTATAAAATACCCTTGTACAGCTGTTACTTATAAAATTGAATCAATGTCTCACTTTATTCAAGTGAACTTCTTTGGTTAATGTGTTTTGTAAGCCAATCTAATTTTTTTTTTTTTTAAATTAATTTGTATATATTTTTTGAAGAGTTTTCGGAGTATTATCGTTTTTAAGAGAAAGCGATTTACTTTTAAACGACAAAAACCATTTCAGAAAACAGGCAATAAAGGGTAGAAAATAATACATAATAGTATAAATGCCTTGAACACTTTAAGTAAGAATATGAAAAAACTGGAAAAGTAGGTACTGACGGATGCACATAAATAATTAAATAATTTCAACTAATCAAGGGTATTTTATGTCTAGATGACTTAATTATAAAGGACCATTAGCACAAATGAGATTTGGTGAAGCAGGTGATTAGTCATGGAACCAAGTCGTACATTTCACAATAAAAATATTTATTTTGTTGTTTTTGTTTTAATTTATAAAATATGACTACAGTACGTACTATCTAAAAACAGTGTATAAATATGATGACTAAATGTAGAGTATGGTACAACATAAACAGAGTGAATCCGATCCCTGGGAACGCTCACACGTGACTGGACAGGGGATCTGATCTGTGACCTGATGATCTGGTGATCTGGTGATCTGTGATCTGGTGATCGGGGGATGAGAGTGGTTTGGTGGTGTGTGCTTGCTTGGTTTTTAGTTAGAAGCTGGTCATGGTCAGTGGCGGTGGTGCACCCTCTACGCAACTTACGTGTGGCTGTGATGCATGTTCAGGTTGGGCAGACTCTGGCCCAGATGGTTCAGCGGCTGCACGGAGAGCGTGTTGGCCGACTTGGAGCCCATCGGGCCGATGATGCCCATCTTGGCCTTGTGCAGGCCACTGATCAATTGCTGCTTGCCCTTCAGGTTCACTCCGTGGTTGCCTGCAGTTATATTGAGATTATGGTTATACAGTTACAATGATTATTATAAATCTCGTAGTTTAAAAAAATGTATATACTCAATATTTAAAATTTTGATAGGTATTTTTTAATGAATACTCCAGGAAAAAACTGCTTTAGGCGATTTTAAAATGGTCTTTAAAAGGCAAAAACTCCAAGATGAACTGGAACTTTTTTAAGTTAACTCTTTATTTATCGCCTGTTAAAAAGCATCAGAAGATTAGATATTCATTATCAGGGGTATCAACTCAATCTGTGACAATTTTTTTTTTAAAAGTTTTGGTATATAATTTTTTGTGTTATTTTGGTGTTTTTTGGATTAACCAGCTCATAAACAATTTCTTTTAAATTGTTACACCCTTAATATATGCTTAGTTGAATTAAATTGTTAGATTACTCACCCCCCATTTGAAAAAAAATCGTTTTTAAACTTTAGCTTTTAAACATTAAGACCTTATTAGACTTTTGCACACGGTGCTTAGCTGATATACCCACAGAAGCCAAAGGCACTTGATTGCTAACATATCTAGGTTATTATCCCCCAAATTACTTTACTATCTACGCACCTGTCATTATGCTGGAGCCCTCGTCGCTGGACACCGAGTTTGTCTTTTCGAAGTCGACGGAGATGTTGCGGGAGTCGTTCCACTCGACGCTGCCGCTGTGGCTGTTGTTCGCACTGGAGACGTGGCTGCAGATCGAGGAGTTCATCGGCGACTTGCGCACGCCCAACGAGTCGGCAGTGCCGCCGCTGGTGCCACTCCCCCGAACCGGAAGCTGTCGCCGCCCACCGTGCCGCTCCCGCTACCGCCGCCACCGCCGCCGCCCCCGCGCTTCAGTCTTTGGTAGATCGTCTTGGCCCGCCACAGGGCGTCGTACCAGTTCTTGGCCTCGGTGCACTGCAGCGTGAACGCCGTGGTGGCCACCTGGAACTCGTTGAGGTACACGCAGTTCAGTGTATTGTTGGCCGCCAGTTGGACAATCAGTTGATCGGTGAGGTACGGCTGCCGGATGACCTTCAGCGCCCCCAATCCCCGCTTGGCAATGGTCTTGCACACCAGGAGGAGATCCGTCAGCAGGAAACAGTGCACATCGGACTTGCCGAGGTTGTCCTTGAACTTGTGGTCGCCCTCCATGAACAGGTGGCGCACTTGGTAGGCGGGGCATCCGCGCATCGGGGCGCAGAGGTCAAACATCTGGCTGTGCTGCTTGATCAACTTGTCCAGCATCTCGTTGTTGGTGTCCTGTAAAGGTGACAAAAAAAGACAAATTTAATAAAAATACCCAAAACTAAATCACTTTTATTAATTCCCCACAAAAACAGAATTTACGCTTTTAAGCATAAGAACAACAATTATACATGTTATTTCTAGTCATAGATCAATCGACTTTTAAACGGCACTCATATTGTATTTTAGAAGACTACGTTAAAGATATATATTGAAAACTCCTCATTGTTAATAATATTCATACGTGTACGTAGGTTCAATAACTATAAATAATTCAATCGGATTAAATTAGACTAAACTAAATTTTAATCATCAAATGTAAGATAATTATTATTTAATAATTTTAGCATTATATAAACTTTCCCAATCTTTATAATGATGCAGCCTAGCAAGTTATTAATATATTTTATTTTAAATCCTTTACCCCATCTATTTTCAAATAATGTTTTTTATTATTTCTCTGATCTAAGAAACTCGGTAAGCGTTATATTTAACATTTGTAAATCTTGTTGACATGTTAGTGTATGGTTCTTTTTTTCGGTTCAAGTCTTGGTGTTTGTAATGCCTTTTGTTATTTAAGTAAGTATTTATTTATAACTGACATTACTACTTTTAACATGAATTCGATTTCGATGTAGAGTAGATGTGTTTTACTCACCACCACATCGTAGGACTCGATCCGCACCATCACGCCCTTGAGCCGCTCGCTCTCCTGCCGCATCGTCAAGTGGTTGTTCACACTGCCCACGAAGTTTTCCACGCTGTGCATCATGACGTCAATGGCCTCGATCTCCTCCACATCACTCATGTGCTTCTTGATGGCCGCCAGGAGGAGGCTGTACTTGGTCAGTCGCTGCATGGGTCGCACCACAATGTCCGCGAGTCGCAGGCGGTTGCACATCTTCTGCGACTCGCACCACGCCAAATAGGAGGTGAACAGGGGGTTGTTGTGGTTCAGCTCCTTGCAGTAGAACTGGCAGGTGCTCTGCTCCGCACAATAGATCTGCAGGAGAAAATTGAGTAAGAATATAAATATTAAAGTAAAGGAAACAAAAGCTATGGCTACCCACCTTATATGGCGCAAAGATGGAGGCGAAGGCAATGAATCCCTCCTGGAAGAAGGCGCATCGCAGCGGTTCGTGGGTGACCACACTGTGTGCCACCATGGGATATAGCCACATCGTCCAGAACTTGATGTTCGCCTCGCACACAGCCCGCACATTGGAGAACAATCGCGCCTGGTCCACATCGATCAGCAGACGCTCCTCCTGAACGGCCTCCAAACAGGCCAGGAACAACTGAAAAGTACACCCATACGTTAGTCTCTTTTGAAGATCAGATTCCAGGGGCAGGCACTCACATCCGTAACTGTTTGCAGGGCGTGAATGTAATACACCTCGGTGGTGACCAGTTCCCAGATGGCAGTCTGGATCTTGATCTCCGTCTCGCTCATCGAATCGCTCTCCACAAAGTCCCGCCAGGACTTGTGCATGTCCTGCAGATACGCCAGTGAGTTGACCAGATCCGGATGCTCGAAGTTCATGCTATCCGCTCGCTGGGGCACTCCGTTCTTGGCGTAGCTGTTCAGCAGCTCGCAGAGCTGGCTCTGCTGGGGATTCTTGATCCCGAATATGGAAGACCACCGCTGCTTGATCTGCTTCCCGGCCGCCACTCCCGACTCGCTGGTCTCCTCGGTGGAAACGGAGGGCAGCAGTCTGGGAGGAGGCTGTCGGGAACCCTGTGGGATTAAGTGGGATAAGGTGTAGATAATTATAAGCTGTGTTCGTGGTTATGTATGGACTTTTATACAAGCACTTTCTACCCTTTGATGGTTTATGTAAGCTATGTATAAAACAACCATTGTCGAAGTCCTTGTACTATGACTTTCTATGTTAACTTTAGTTTTGCAGTTTTTACTGTACTATTATATAATAAACAGCTTTTAAGGACACCAATAATTAAAAGAAATCTCAGAAAGTGAAATTAAATAATTTGTGAAAGAGAGCTACCTATTTATAGTTAGGTTTCAAAGATTCAACGCTTTTAAGCATAAATATTTTTCATTGAAATGCATTTTATTTTAGCTCAGGCCAGGGTTCGCCCTCTCAACTTTTTGTTCTGACTGCCAAAATATGAATTTTCCCTTGACCAATTTCGGGAGAAACTTACAAAGGAAGCTGCCTTTTGCAGGGGCTTGCGGTTGCTGCCTCGTTCTGTGATGCAGAGATGGTGTCCAGCCAGGCTCTCCACGTCGGTCTGCTCATCCACCGAAACGGGAAGGAGCGAAGGTCCTGTCGAGGGAGGTAAAAAAGCTCGAAATGGTAACGAATCCGAGGGAGTTCCACGTAAACCACTTACCTGCATCTAAAAAACTGGGCGTGGGATTATTGTCCGTAATTGTTATTTGTGTAAAGCTGAGGTTTCGCCTACGCAGAGCATGGCTGAGTGCGTTACTAAAGAGTGCATTCAGGTATACATTTTATTTTAAATTGCGTTTCAAAGGGGATTTCAAAGGACTCACAGTAGTGTCACGCCTTTGGTTGCAGGAATAAACTCCTCATCTGGCTGCTGCGACGAGTCCAGGCAGAATGACACGGAGAAGAATTCGGAGCTGGATACCTAAACGAATGAACAATCCGACAGTAAGTAAGGGAATTCGCTGACATTTAGGGACTTTTGGTCTACCACTTCCCGTTGATGCAGAGCCTAATCTGTAAATTCAAGGACCAAACACAAAAAGGGCCTTTTAATCTAGCCTTCAAAAGGGCCACAAAGAGGTCCACTGACAGAAATGAGTTGCGACTGCCAGAGCACTCTCTTTGATGGCCCTGCGAAGTGTGAAGATTGCATCTGGAGGAGGCTGGGGAAAAGGGGGCAGGCCCGACCCAGCCGCCCACAAAAACTACTGAAATAAATGCAAACATCAAGAAATATTCTCCGGATTCGTATTTGTGTTGGGGGAAACGGGGCGGAATTCTCCGCTTGGCGAGTGACAGAAAAGCGGCGGCGAGGGGAAACCGAAGAAAGGAAAGGAAGGAAGCGAAGGAAAGTAAAGGAAAGTAGAGGAAAGCAGGGAAAGTTCTACGACAACTTTTGCTGATTAAGGCGACAAAGGCAAATAAAGAAATTAAAAATTTCAAAGGTCGTCATCTGCCGAGTGTAAATCACCATCTTTCGCCGGCACTCGTTAATTGCAGACTCATTTTGTGTGAGGGACATTCAGGTGGCAGGACCTTCTGATTGTGCAGCCACTTGGGATGTGCTCAATCCCAGAGCAGCTTGTCTTTTGACCAGGCGATTCAGGAGCCATCCCACTCACCTCGCTGCGCGTCAGCAGTGGCTTCTTGCGCTTCATGAACGAGGATTTCTTTTTCACCGTCGAGCCGGAGGACGTGGAGCCGCCGGCCGGGGAGGTCAGACCACCACCACCAGCCGGTGGTGCGGCGGTGCTGCTGTAGGGACTCAGGGTCGAGGACGACGTGGCCGCCGATGTGGCCGCCTCGCCGGCGAACTGAAAGTGTTTGGAGGAGGGTATCGCATGAGTTGCCGTGGTCGTGGTGGTGCCGGTGGTGGTGCTGCCGCTGCTAGTCAGTTGCTGGTGGTGCTGCTGGCCCTGATGGTGGTGCTGGTGGAAGGACCCGGCACTGGAGTGACCGGTGCCAAAGCAGGACGAACTGGCCGTCGTCGTGGTCTCGTCGAGCGTCGGCGAGAGCATCAGCGAGGGCGTCCGCCGCACGATCTGCGGTGCCTGGGTGTAAATTGTGGGTGGGTGGTGCGGTGGGTGCGCGTGGGGGGGTGGTGGTGCCGAGGGGGACAGACAACCGCCCGCCGGTTCACCCTTCTTCTCAGTCGGAGATTTTTCGAGTTTCTTTTTTGGGTATCAGCGTGGTGTTTTAAAGCGGTCAGCAAACAAATAAAAACCAAAGTTTATAAAGCCCATTAGGTAAATACATAGAGACAGTGAGGGGAAGAGATAGATAAAGAGAGAGAGAGAGAGAGAGAAAAGAGTGGATAATACAGATATTGTGGGCATATTTTTGGGTGATAACTTGATAATACACTCTATATAAACCATAGAGTCTATCTACTGTGTTGGTTTTTCCAATTTTCCAATAGAAAGCAATTGTATCTACCAAATATTTAAAGCAAATATTTAAAGATTAAAGAAAGCGCCCTATATTGTCTAACGTTATTTTAAAAGAAAGTATTTAAATTAATTTTGAGATGCCAAGGACTTTCTTTTTTACAGGATTTCGATAATGTTTTTTATTCTATACTAATTTAAATAGCCGCAATTAGTTTTTTAATGAAAATATAATTTGTTTTGAACTAAAAAATGATTGTTATAATAAAAACATGTTTTAAAAACATATAGAACCACGATTTAAAATAAACTTTCGAATAGAAAGATTTTTCCTATTGATGTGATTCTTATAATTTATATTTTTAATCCTTCTATAAACTAGGATAACTTAGTTTAAGATCTCTACACTACCAATTAAACATCAATAACAAGAATGGAGGAAAAGTAATGGTCTCTTAAAATCGCGGAAAAGTCACGTCCTCTTTAAAACTGACAACAAAAGACACGGAGTAGTGTTCCGAATGACTAACAGTTACAAATAGTTAGTGCAAAGAAAAACAACTGACTGTGCTTAAATCAATGACAGCTACACGAAGAGCAGCAAAAGTGCTAAAAAATCAAAATAGACACAAATCAAGGACAGACGAAAGCAGCAAGCAAAGTAATTTGTTATCAATTTGCGAGCGGACTTCCTCTCGGGGGGCTAAAACCCAGGAATGGCGATTCTACAGTGGGCACACACTACACTTCACACACTACATATGGAAAAACAACATTCTAAAATCAAGAATATATAATTTTAATTAATGATATGATTGGATATCATTTAACATTTTCAAGACCAGTTGTAATGGTAACTTTAAATGGAATAACAAATGTGAATTACTGAAATAATTGAAATTTTGATATATGTAATATATATTGGTTGACTCTGAAAAATCGTTAATCATTACAAAATAATTATGAAATTGCAATTTATAAAGAAGAAGATGCTTTAAGGTTACCAAATAAAAGTTAAAATGTTAAACAAATACAATCTTACATAAGGAATGTTTTTTGGCACAAACTTCTAGGATATGTTTTAGAATTTTAAAATTATAACTTATTCTTGATTTTGGAATGCTTTTTCCCCCAGTGTACACACTCTAGGCAAGATGGATGTGCTGACTAAGTGGCCAAGTTCTAGCAGTTGGCCGGAGGATTAGCATTTGCCTTTGGCCCTCTGACTTCCACTTACCACATTGGCCTGCCGGCCCAGCGATCCTGGTGCTCCGGCGGTGGCGAACAGTCCTGAGGTCGCGGTGGTGGTGCCGGCGGTGGTGGAGGTGGTGCTGGTGGCCATTCCCGGCGGACCGTGCTGGCAGGCCACCACTCCCGAGTCGAGGCCATCCAAGTGGGTGAGACTTTTCGATTTCAGCTGCAACGGAAAGTGAAATCGAAATCTATATGTGAGTCTGGGTTGAAATCATTCAAGCGTGGCGCAGATATTTATAATTAAATTTTATTCGCGTTATTGAGGGCTTTTCACGTATTGTTTTTCACATGATACGCCCTGCGGATTGGTTTCATTCAAGTAAAAAATGCAATTTAAATATAAGCGGATAAAGTGCGCCCTTTTAGGGATGCATACGTGAAATTGCTAGATGAATTACAACATAGTCAATAAAGGTGAGAGGCATAGTAAAATATTGCTCCCATAAACAAAAAGAGATTGACAGATGAATGTGAATATTAAAATAATAAAAAAAAAATTAATTAATAAAAAATTATAAACAGCGACATATCATTGAATATAAGATCAATGTGTTGTTTCTAAAAAATTTCAAAAGAGCTCAATTTATCGAAGTGATTTTTCGGATACAAGATTTATTACCAGACCATAAATCTGCATCTAGTATAAAATCCCGATAAGAATAGTTTTTTTTTAGGCTTATAAGCTATAAAAAGCCCTGCTGGACATATTGCGGAAATGCTTTGTTTATTTTAAGATGCTTTTAGAAATGTATTGTGTTGCAGGCGACCTTCGGAGCGACAAAGCCATCAAGCCACTGCATCCAAGGGACTTTGGAGCCACATCGAATTACTGAATATTTCGCGCTTAATGTAGAGAATAATGTTTTGAATGCTTTTGGCGCCGGGCGTTGCGAGACAATGAAAAGCTCAGTGCATTTTCCGGGGAAAATAAATTGCTTGCGGCGGCGTGGCAACTGGGTAACTGGTAGCTTGGTAGCTTGGCAACTTGGCGAGGGCGAACCGTCAACGAAAAGATGCATCGAGAACAAAAAGATTGCGCCAGCGGCAAAGAGCCCTAGACGTGTCCTCGAAGGTTTCCTGTCCTCGCCTAATGCACTGAGATTACATCAGTCAAGTGCCCCCAGCTGGCCGACTGAGTGTGGACGTGGACCAAAGTCAGGGTTCGCCCCAAAGTCAATGCCTCACCCGTCGCCCGTCCCTCGTCCCTCGTCACCCGTCGTCCTTTGTAAAGGACCCACCCATCCGTCTGCGATTTACACATCTCAATGCCTCGCTTTAAATTGTGCTCGACGAAAAACCTTGTGCTTAAATTCGCATTAACCGCAGTAAAATCCAAGGGGATACTTTTTAGTCATGCCATTTTATGCTAGGACTGGGAGCATCTAGAACATTTCAGATCAAAGTTTATCTGAAATAGGTGTTTAAAAGCTTCCTGTAATTAATTGTAATTGTTACTATTTACTTCAATTAATTTAACTTTTTAAAATATTTATTAAAATTTTTAGGTTAAACAACATATTTTTAGCAAATAAATTTGTACAGTTCGTATTTGCAAATACTTCAAATAAATGCAAATAAATTTGCGGAATTAATTGTGCTCTATTTAAAGCCATATTAACTTTAAAAAGTAATTTCTAAGACTCCTCTTTCGGTTTAAAGAATTAAAAAATTATAAATAATTTCAGACAGAAAATCAGCATCTTCCTAAAAACTTCTTTCATTATTCAGCTAGTTAATTGACACTGTATTTTAGTGAGTTCTTCCTGTCATATTCTCAGCTATTTGGTATTGTCTTAAATTGGATTGCTCCGCAATGCTGAAATATGAAATGCAGGATGTATCTGCCATCCGAATCCAGGGTGCGGCATTCATGGCATCCGAGCTGCGAGAATTTAAGCTCCGGGACGGATGCCATTCAGCCCCCTGATGCCGCTAATCTGCCATGGAACGCACATCCAGGACCAGTTACTCCCCCGGAGTGCGCCCAAGGATACGGGCTCTGGTCTGGTCTATTATTCCTGCTGACGACAATATTTCACATTCTGTTTTGGCAATTTCCAGCTGGCGGCCCTTACAGTGCGACGGCTTGCCTTGCCCTTTACTCTAGTTTATGTTTTTGTTTCCGGTTATATTGTGAATTGTTCGCCCACTGCGGCTTGGCAAACTGCGTCCAGAAATCACACACGATTCGGGTATACTAGGCTTGTATGGCTTGATACTCGTGTAGTGAAATCAAAATCCCTTATGCTGCCTTAGTCTTAAATCAGTTTTCAATTTTATTTAAAAAAAATTAGTTATCACACAACAAATTAATATTTTGATAATAAAAATAATTATTATATCAAAACTTGCATCAAAATAAGCTTAACTAATGAAATACCATCAATGATTTTGTATAATTGTATTAATGAAATTCTAAAATATTTATTTAACTTGTTTTTAAAAGTGTAGGATATCTTATAGTTGTTACTGTTAAATAAACCCATTTTCCCTTTTGACTCTTTGCACTTTTGGCTTACTTTGGCCTTTAGCTTGTCACACAAAAAAAGATATTCAAGAGCAAATCATACTCGAAGGTCCCCATAAAATGAACACGTTACTGTTGTGTAATCTCGGCTGAGGAAATAATAATTCTGATTGTTTATACTTCGTACGAACAGTGCAATGCGACATTGCATAGTCTACTCTTGTGTCCTTTTAAACGTAGAATGTGGCTAACGCGATTACCTAATCACTTAAAGACCTCAACACGTCTGTCTTGCCCTCGTAATTTCCATGTTAACATGGCTACTTAAAGGGGACAGCGATTGAAAAAAGAACTTGGTCCACATGACACGTAACATGGTAAATCACTTTGGGGTTTAAGCCGGACACCCTGACAAATTATGTCGTGTGCTAAGAAGTTTAGCATCGTGGTAAAAGGATATTTCCCAAAGGAAGTGCAAGAAATTCGAGTTAAACTTCAAGCATCAGAGGTTGCCTACATATTATAAATTCAATTTAAGTCAAGTAAGCTTATCGTTCGCCCCAAAATCGTTGGCATTTTATTTTCCCTGGTTTTTGTTATTCATCTATTTCGTTTGCCCATAATTGTTTTGGTTTACGTGTACTCATCCTGTTTTCTATGCCTTTGAAGAAAGCCTGCCACTAATAGGATTAGATTTTGTAATAAACGTACCAATTATGATTACGGCTTGGGAGTGGCCTATTTAGATGGCCGGGGTAAAAAGAGAGATTTGTCCGTGAATGCCAGCTCGTACGAAAATATTTGCCAGATTCTGTGATGGAATGATGATAATCTAAATAGTTGAATAGATGGTTAAGCCACGGACTCGCCAACAAAACAGTGCAATGCCATGCGAAATGAAAGCAACGTTTTGCTAGAATTTTGTCGAGGCTTTCATGGGGGGGGGGGGTTATATATATCTCCCATTGTGGGCCGGACAAATCGCTGATGCAATTTATTGCTCCACTGCACTTGCGCTAATGCCTCTAAATATCTTCCGGCGACAATTGAATTCCCCCACGAACATAAGCACACACATTAGTTTCTATGCAATCACACTGCGTATACGTTATGTGTAATGTCTCTGTTATAATATTCATAAATTCCATGGCGGTCATAGTCGTTTATTGCAATGCCATTCAGGCATACCAATGGCAAACTAAATTTATGCATTTGACCACGCTAGGAGCGCACGTATAAGAATAATTTAATTTATAATAAACTTATTTCTGTTGTTTTACGTAATTTAAATGGATTATTGTTTAAAATAAAATGTTACGCAAATTTCCAGTCTTTTAAGCTTCTACTTAATACATAAACTACAAAAACAGAGCTTTTACGGCGTTCTTTAAAAGAAAACATCATGGTAAAATCTATATTAAAGCAATAGAAATAAATATTAACCAAGTTTTTTCAAGAACATTCTTTTAAAAATATTCAAATACAAATTAAAATTTGTACAGTTGTTCTTTTATATTTAATCAAACCTTTTAAAAGGTGGTTTAAGAACTAATTTATTTATGGTTAAGAAAACCATGTAACAAGTTTGTTAAAAGCAATAATCCTTACTTAATTCTACACTTTTATACATATATTTTGAAGAGGACTGTCTGATTGCCTCAAGGAATGAAAAGCGAGTGCTTCAAGTAATAAAAATAAAGTTTAATAACAAGTTTCAGAGGGCATTAAATAATTTATCGCTGTTAAAGGATCTTTCGGGGATGCAGGACTTACATCCGCGCTGACGTCATGGCTGAAAACATTTGGCGCTGTTGTTCGCAAGTAATTCTGTAATTTAATATCCCAACTTAAAAGACAAACAAGAGCACGAGGCGAAGCGAAAACAGAGGGAAATAAAACAAAAAATACGAGCGTGCATAAGAGTGGAAATATGTTTATTCTCATTTCGCTAAGTAAACATTTGATTATGGCCGCGCATAATTTGTTGACCACGTGCCCCTCGCCGATTTCCGGGACTCACCTGCAACTTGCTGTTGGGCGGCGACACCACCAGGCAGATCTTCATGGTGGCGCGCAGGAACTCCTCGCGCTTAGTGCTGAGGTCAGGGGTCACGGAGCCGGGCGAGGTCACCGCCGCCTGCTTGTGCGGCGCCCTCTTCGGCGACGACACGCTGGGCAGGAAGGGGTTCAGGCTCCGCACCAGACTGGCCGAGCTGAACTTGCCCCCGGATCCACCGCCCTCGTTGCTACTCCCGCCGGACGGAGGCGATGCCGAGGTGGCCCCGCTCTGCGGCGCCTGCTGCTGCTGGTGGTGCAGCAGCCGGGTGGGCGAGTTCAGGCTGAACAGCTTCCGGCGATGCCTCCCCGGCGTGGAGGAGGAACTGGAGGCGGGACTGGGCGAGGGTCCCGGAGGTCCTCCCCCTCGCTGTGCGTCGACTCCTGCGATCCTGCCCGACTGTACGAGGGCGTGGGCAGCTGGGCGGAGCGGGTGCCCGCTCCCGATCCCCCTCGGCCGTACTTCACACACCCGTCCAGCTGAAGGTCATCCGACCGGAGCTCACCCCCCTCCACTGCCCCATCCTCGCTGTAGGTGCTGTGATACGTTCGCGCCGTGATCTCCGGCAGGAAGGGATTGTTGGGCGAGGTCAGGGTGTACTGATAGTAGCCCCCGCCCCCGCTGCTACTGGTCTCCACCGGAAGCGTGCCCTCCGTCTCGTCGGGCGTGCTCTCCTCGGGGAAAGGATCCGCCCTGGAAATCATGGCCTCCGCCCACGCCACTGCTGCTCGATAGATAGGCCCCCAATTGCTCCCACTCTCCCGAGGAGGAGTTGTGCGAGGACACCGTGAAGCCCTCGTTCGAGTGACCCTGGCAGCTCCTGGAGCTCTCGTTGCTGCTCTTGAAGAGGAAGTTCTGCAGGCGGGTCAGCCGGATGGAGCTGCTCTCGCTGGTCAGGCTGCAGCTCCTGCTGCTGTTCCCAGGAGCCGAGGATGCGGTTGTGGTTATGGCTTGCTGATCGCTGCGATTGCTGCTCTGTGTCTCCAGGCGACGTCTGTCCTGGTTTTCGCTAGATACTAAGGGGGCTGATCCTGCTCCTGCTCCTCCTCCTCCTGCTCCTGCTCCTCCTCCAGTTCCTTTTCCTGCTCCCCCCGACGATGTGCTCACCTCGCCACCCATGGAGGCCCAATAGAAGACACTATTCTGGGAGCCACTCAGCTCACCCAACTCGCAGCTGCTCTCCAGGGAAGTACTCGAATTGGTGGTGGCCACGCTACTCAGGTGGCGGTAGGCGTATTCCGGCGGAGTGCCCTCGTCCGGACTGTCCAGCAGCAGGGCGGGATTGATGTGGCCACCCAAGCCCAAGCCGGGCAAGTGTAGGTGGCTCAGGGCAAAGGGCAGCCGGTTGTTGTTGTCCGGGTGCTGACTACTCGGCGGCGGTGGAGTGGCCCGGCTCTTAGCCTTCAGCTCCTCGGGCGTGGGTTCCTGCCGCTTGATCTCCAGTGATCGATGGTCGCCGCGGCGAAAGGAGCGGCGCAGTCGCTCCGCGAACTTGGACTGCTTGGGCGGCTTGTCCTTGGGCGGCTTGTCCTTGGACCTGCCCAGCAGATTGGTCCTCTCAGTCTTGTCCTCCTTCTCCAGGAGTTTCTCGTGCATAGCCGTCGCAGGGATGGGGATCTGGTTGGAAGCCGGTCGCTGGTTGCTGGCAAGTGTAATCGGTGGCGCCGCAAAGCCACCACCCATTACGGCCGCCCTTCGCCGTGGTGGTTGATGCTTCTCCGGCGGCTGTCCCCGATGGGTGGTCTCTAGTTTAGCTGGTCCGTGGTTTGTTACTCACTAATTCGTTAATTTATGAAGCGTTGATTTTCCCCAAGATACACCTTCTGATGTGATCCTTTTTTTGACTAACACTAAAGCGATTTCGTTATAAATAGTTTGCTCGTATTGCTTATTCTATTATTTTGACTTTCGTTGGTTTGCTGAAATGAGAAATGGGGATCCGAAAAGTGTTAAGTTGGTTTGATAAAATAGTTTATTTTGATTGGATAGTCAGTTTGGCTTTGGTATCTGTCGAGGAGTGGGCGTTCTATCTTTATACTACATTTATTAAATGGCTTCAACTTCTTGTAGTAACAATTGAGATATTTAAAGCTACTACTAACACAGCAATCTCTTATCGGCTAAACCCAATAAATTTAAGAATACAGAAATGTATTGCATCATGTAACCCATTTTTCCCTAACATGAGTATTTCAAATTCAAAACTAACCTCCCTGAATGGCAAGCAACAATAAGTAATGCAAATAAGCACTTTCGGAGCAAATCAATTTAGGATAATCCATTCAGTCATAATCCCCAACCGTTATTGCTATTTTTCGCCCTTCGATTTGTGTATGCAAAACCGTGAGTGTATTATTGTCTCGGAAAAATATTCAATAAAATCACAAAAGGCAGTGACCGTTTAATAATCTACATAACGCAAAAGACGCTTTCGCGATGAAATCGCGAATGTTTATATTGATTGGTCATTTAATTAATATAAAACTAACACTTAAAACTCTAATTAACTTACCACGAATACAATGAGTCTGAACGACGTTCCACACAACGTCAACGACAAGACGAGAGACGGCTCCAGTACAAAAAATAACGCTTACTTTCTTTTAAAGCAACCAAAATAACAAGCTCGATCAAGCGCGGGCAATACCCCCAACTACCGAGTTCTTAAACGTATCGAGCGAGAGCGCGTCTGCTCCCCCGCTACCATCGACGTCTCTGCGGCCAAAGAGCGCGAAAGTGCTCCAATGCAGGTAGCAATAACCTAAGCTCATCAGCAGTAACTAGCACCGCAATTTCTTTAACAACGTCAACTGTAACACAACAACAACGCAACAGTACGACTGCTCGTTTAATACATCATCAGCTAGCAGCCAAATATTAATACGTCTGCCACGCGCGCCCGAAAACAAACAAAACCAAAAACTAGCCGGCTCAGACTGGTATGGATCGCTACATCCAAATCAAAGGAAGCTGAGCCCTCAAATTCCAACGCAAAATAACCCGAACAATGCTAGCCTAGCTGGAAAAAATGCCCACGAACTCAAACCGATTTAAAATCTGGAGACGCCTAGACGTAGGCGGCCGAATCCACTGAAGTCGAAAAGGAAGCCAAAACCCCGCCTATTTATATTCGAAAAAAAGTTCCAATGTTCTTGTCAACAAAATTATCGAGCTTATTGAAAGGATAACTTCCACATAATACCTCTAGTAAAGGGCAACATCCAGGAAACAAAGGTTCAAATAAGTCTGAAGATAATTACAGAGTATTATCGAAATATCTTTCCGAGAATAAAAAGAACTTTTACACGTATCACTAAAAAGTAGCAAGGGCCGCAAGTCGACTTAAGGGCATAGAGTCCGACGTAACGCCGCAGAGATAACAAAGGCGCTCAAGAGAAGGGATTTAACGCTAAGACAGTCTTCAACATCCTTAACAGGGATAGAAAGCCGCAGCCACTCTTTAAGGTTGAGCTCGAACCAAAAAAAGCCCCAAAAAAACGAAGTGCACCCCATTTACAATCTTCAGTTCCTGCTGCACCGCAGAATTACAGTTGAGGAACCGCACAAACGCAATGGCCCGGTACAATGTGCGAACTGCCAAGAATATGGCCATACAAGGTCATACGAAACGCGCCCGGTGTGTGTAGTTTGTGGAGATCTTCATACTCCGCACACTGCCCAACGAGCAAAGATGACTGCAACTCGAAAAAGTGCGGCAACTGCGGTGGCAATCACACTGCTAACTACAGAGGCTGCCCTGTTTACAAGGACTGAAAAGTCGCATCCACCAGAGAGGAACTGCCGCCCGCACCCAAAATAAACAGATGACAGCTTCCAGATCAAACCCGAAGTCTTCTTCGACTGCAGCCAGATCCTCACTAGGACCCTTAAACTCTGATAAAATGTGACTTACGCAAGCGCTTTAAAATCAGGACTGGCTAACCCTGTCTCAAAAAGTTCATTTCTGCAATCAGCATACCAAGAACCGAACACGGCTCAGCACAACAATTCCCGGAGCAGTCAAAAGCAACTCGAAGATATGATATACAGCCTGCAGCAAAGCCTTACGGAGTTTATGTCGTTTATGCGCACAACTATGCAAGATTTAATGCGAAACCAAAATCTACTGATTCAAATGCTGGTTTCACAACAATCCAAATAATACTTCCCTAAGGATATCTACGTGGAACGCTAACGGCGTCTCACAGCATAAACTGAGTTAGCTCAATCCTACTCGACAACCATATCGACGTAATGCTGCTTTCAGAAACACACCTACAAATAAATACAATTTTCAACTACGAGGTTACTCATTTACGGAACAAATCATCCAGATGGTAAAGCACATGGTGGGACTGGAATTCTAATCAGAAGCCGTATTAAGCACCACTATCATAACAAATTTGCTAAAAATTATCTACAGGCCACATCTATAAATATACAAACAAATACTGGCAACCAAATTACACTAGCCGCCGTATACTGCCCCCGCTTCACCATAGCTGAAGATGAGTTTATGCAGTTTTCAACTCACTAGGAGACCACTTCATAGCAGCAGGGACTACAACGCCAAGCACACACACTGGGGATCACGTCTCGTGACTCCAAAAGGAAAACAGCTCTATAATGCAGTTATAAAAGCCAAGAACAAGCTGGACTATGTTTCTCCTGGCAGACCAACATACTGGCCGGCAGACCCAAGGAAACTACCCGATTTAATAGACTTTGCAATTACCAAAAACATTTCTAAAAATCTGATAAGCGCCGAATGCCTCTCGGATCTTTCATCGGATCACTCGCCTGTCCTGTTTATTCTTCTCCGACATCCAGGCGCATTGGAGCAATCGTTTAAATTGACATCTCAGAAAACCAATTGGGTTAAGTACAAAAATACATTAGCCACACATTGAGCTAAGTCCTCATCTCAACGATGAAGCCAACGTAGACAGATTTGTTAATACACTGGAGTCTGTACTCGTCTCTGCAGCTCGAGTTTCAACACCCCAAACTACAAGTACACAAAGCAACCAAAGAAGACAAATCTACAAATAGAACAGCTCGTCCTCGAAAAGCGACGCTTACGTCGAGAGTGGCAACCCACAGATCACCATCTGCTAGGCAAAGCTTAAAATATGCCTCACGTCAACTCACAAAAGCTTTACAGCAAGAAGAAGCACATGCCACCGACGCTACATAGAGCAATTGTCAACATCTAGCACAAAACACTCACTATGGAGAGCTCACCCTACTCTAAGCTCACCGAAAGTAACCGTGATGCCTATTAGAAACCCCACAGGCGGCTGGGCGCCAGCGATGCAGACAGAGCCAGCACGTTTGCCAACCACCTAAAAATGTCTTCAAACCAAATCCTGCCACTAGTGCGTCACCTTGCCGACTTTACCACATGAGCCTCAGCTCAACATGAACCAATTGAGTTTCGCCCAAACGAAATCGCTAACATCATCAAAAATCAGCTGAATCCGAAAAATCCCCGGCTGCGACCTCATAACTCCCAAAATGATCATTGAGCTCCCATATTGCGCCGTTTGCACTATCACCCAGCTTTTAATGCCATCCAAAACAGGCCACTTTCCAGTAATGGAAAAAGTCAATTATAATAATGATAGCAAAGCCAGAAAAGACCACACAATTCCCACGTCGATAGACCTATAAGCCTACTCCATGCTTATCTAAACTCTTTGAAAAATGCGTATTGATTCGGATAAACACATACCTAAGAATCCAGGAAGGAATTCCGTCACATCAATTTGGGTTTCGTGAAAAGCACGGAACAATTGAGCAGGTCAACCGGATAACATCAGAAATTCGGAACGCGTTCGAAAAACGAGAGTACTGTACTGCCATATTTTTAGACGTCTCTCAAGCATTTGATAGAGTTTGGCTAGAAGGTCTAATGTTCAAGATCAAGACAATGCTCCCTACAACACCCATAAGCTTCTAGAGTCTTACCTCTACGACAGAAAATTGCTGTTCGATGCAACACTGCTATAACTGACGATTTCACTATTGGAGCTGGAGTTCCTCAAGGAAGCGTGCTTGGCCAACATTATATGTCCTCTACACAGCAACATCCCAACAAGCACACGACTAACAACATCTACGTTTGCTGATGATACAGCCATTCTCAGCCGCCAAAATGCCCGATGCAAGCAACGCGCAGCTCGCTCTTCATCTGGTCGATGAGAAAAGTGGCTATCAGATTGGCGAATTAAAGTGAACGAACAAAAATGCAAGCACGTTACGTTCACCCTGAACAGGCAAAACTGCCCGCCGCTCATGTTAAACCATACTCTACTCCCGCAAGCAAACGAAGTGACATATCTAGGAGTACACTGACAGAAGACTCACATGGCGCCGGCACATTGAACCAAAAGAACACACCTAAAGCTAAAAGCCAGTAGCCTTCATTGGCTATCAACGCTCGGTCTCCCTTAGTCTTGAATATAAAGTCCTGCTGTATAACCGGTACTAAAACCTATATGGATGTACGGCTCAGTTATGGGGAATGCCAGCAATAGCAATATTGACATAGTCCAGCGAGCTCAGTCGAAGATCTTGAGAACAATCACCGGGGCACCGTGGTACGTTCGCAACGAAACCATACATCGCGACTTAAACATTCTACCAGTCAAAGAAGTGATCGCAGAACAGAAGGAAAAGTACTTTACCAAGCTATCGTTGCACCCTAACCACCTGGCGAGAGGTCTTACAAGGTTGATCAACCAATCACGCCTTCGTCGCAATGACTTACCCACCCAGCGACCGACTTGAGGCACGCGCAACCAGAATGCAGTCTTATTATACTGTTAGTTAAATTTTAATGTTAAGATTCGTAAACTTATTGTTAGTCTCAAAATTAAGAGAAGATTCAATAAACAAAAGCAAAGTTAAATAAAAAAAAAAAAAAAAAAAAATTGTGTATGCAACCTTTAAAGTTTTCGGCTGTTATGGAAATTGGGAAAACGTGTTAGCATTTCAAATGAGAGACGAGACGACGAGCTTGGCCGCCGGGTTTTCACATAATTTTCCGAATCCGGGATGCGATGGCAAGCGATTGGCAATCGATGGAAAATCCGAAAAGTTTAATCAATGTGCATATTTTGCTGTCAACCGATTGGCAAAACTGAATTAATCAGGCAGAATGGTAAACCAATTTGACGAGTCGAAGTTCAAGTCTGATGCAGTTTCATCGGAATTTTTAATTAAAGTTGTCAAAATTTTCCTATCAGAGGAATTGCGGAAGCTTTACAAAAACACAGCAAAAATGAATCGCTATCAATAATATTGATGTTAAATATTTACAGATTTAAATTTATGTTGTGTTTTTTGCCTTAATTTCATCCTGCTTATTGATATTTCTGCTGCTCAGTCACGTTCTGCACTCTGGCCATAATCGTACATTTATATTCGCAACATAACTTTAAGATCTTCTTCTATGGAAAAGACCTTTTGGCTAAAGCAACGATAAACAATTCCTGGGCCTGTTTTCCTGATTTTCCTTCGGTTCTTTTTTTTTTTTTTTTGGAAAAGGGTGGCAAAGCGTGGGCAAGCAAACTTGGCCATAAAACGGGCCAGAAAACTTTATTGTTATTAATATTATTTGCACATAAATATAACAGTAAATAAACATAGAAAGTGCGTATGTGGATGGAGTGTGGCACTCGCAGCTCGAGAGTTGACAGCCAGCCTGCCCCTGGCTGTTGCAAATAAATCATTGCACACGCCTGGACGCCCCTCAAACACGCAACATGCCCCCAATCCCGATCCTTGAGTCTAACCCTCCATATACTCGACCTCCTAGTTGCTAGCCAGCGGGGGAACCCCACCGGTGTTTGCTTGTGTTTAGGCCAAAATAATGTATAATTAAGCTGGGAGCAGAGAGTTCGGCCGGGCCTTTAATAAAGCCAACCATCTTTCATGCCACACACACATTGGGGGTGCTGACAGCTCAAGGACGAGGAGTACGGTGATTGGTGGGTGGTGGTGGATGTGAGTCCTTCCCCCGGATTTTGCAGATTTTCACCCCTTTGTGGGGTCCGGAGTGCAGGGTTTTCGGAGGGGCATCTAGCAAGTTATTTTCAATTAAGTGTTCTTAACACGTTGCCTAATCGACAGACATGTTCCCCCGGGTCCTGGGGACACCGCCTCCTAATCACATTACTGCAAAGCCAAAGGAGCCGCACAAAAGGTCGAGCAAAAACAGTGACATGATGTGATTCCATCTACCCAAGGGAAGAGATTCGTTCTGGGAAATTCCCACTGGAAATCATGTTCAATGGCCTGTTTCTTGCATTTCGTTTTAAAATTGAAGTTGGCCTTTAATCTGAGCAAACACGAAAAACAATTGCGATTTAACAATAAATTGTTAAATTTCCTAAATGTATTTATGACTTTAAGAAAACTGAAGAAAATCGCATAGCTATTAGAACCAAATAAAATAACTTCTAAGAATTATTTAAGTTTTGAAATTCATTACAGCATATACATTACTTTGTAATAGATGCAATATTAAAGTAGAACCGTTTTCAAAATTTAAATATTTGGCACCCTTTTTAAGTGGTCTATGTTTACACCTTGGGGTGATAACTCCCACAATTTGGTAATATAAATGGAATAAACCAGCCAAAGGCCCACCCTGCATAATTGCCGCCACCTCCTAAACCAATTTAAATATTCCGTGAGGACCGGGGTTCCCTGGAGTGGGTTCAAAAATACGTTGTATCACGGCAGGGCAAATCGCAGAACGTTTAAAGATAAGCGAGCATGTTGTTCGCCTCTCATTAAATTAAATTAAATGTGTGTCTTGCGATAAAATTTTATATTCAAGACCCCACTCCAGAAGGTGGCTGGGTGGAGTGGGTTATGAAGGGGGTTTCGGGGATGTGGGTCGCAAGTGGCAAGTCGCAAGTCGCGAGCGAGTTCAAGGCGTTTTTCAATTTCAGTGCAGCAACAAAATCCGTCCGCCACAAAACCAAAAACAACTAGCCGCGAAGCGCCGTCATTTCCGCCGCCTGTCAGAGCAGCAACAATTTAATTTTTATTGTTATGATGTCATCAGCATAAGAACCAGGCCCGTGCCATTTGCAGCCCCCAGACCCATGAAGCCCAGAACTCAGACCTCAGACCTCAAAACCCAGACCCCAGACCCCATACCCGACATCCACATCCAAAGCAAGTTTCATTCAGACTTCGCTGACGCACTCGGACGACGTGAAGCTCATACAAATTGGCAGTGTGATGGAGTCGAAGAACCGCGCTAAAATAACACAACCACTATTCCAGGTCCCCGGCGGCGTCTTCCTTGGGTCCAAGAGCGATTTATGCGCGAATTGCCATTTGCCCAGCAGGATTTACTCGAATCGCTGACCAGTCACCGATGAAATGCCAGCTGCCCTGTGCCGTCACTTCAAATACAGTCGAAATTCTATAACTCGAAACAGAACTTTACTATTAAAAGTTTATAGACCAAGACAAAAAAAAATCAAAACTTGTAAAAATTGAAAGATCTTCTGACTTGGTGATTATAGGGAAAATATAGGTAAAATTCGAGTTCCTTAATAGATAATTTAGAGAACCGAATTCGAAAAGGATTACCAAGAAAAACCATAGTGATTTTTGTGGCACCTTTGTAATTTGCGTTCAAATGAAAATAGGTTTTCAAAGTTATTTGTTGCACTTCCTAAATATTTAGAAACCTTATACCCATTAAAATTCCAATTAAAAAAAACAAATGCTTGAAAGTGCTTACCAAATTCTTGTATACTTTAAGTATTAGAGAAATTGATAAATTCCTATTTTTCCAAGTATAGAAAATATAAGAGTTCGGGTTATGGAGGATAGACTGTATATAGACAACCGCGGTGATGGCTTGGGCTGAGTTAGAATTATGCCCCTGGCCTGAGCACATTATTACGATGCCGGCTTTTATGTGGCTGTGGTAATGTAACATTTTGCTGAGCAATCAAAAGGCGCAGCAAAGTTTCCAAGTTCGAGGGGCACTGGGCGATTGCGGCGGAGGAGGACGAACCGCATCCGTTTGCCGAGCCCACCTGGCCAACTTGCAGCCAGAGTTTGATCGATAAACCAAACCACCGAACCAAACCAAACCAACCCAAGCCCGACCAGAGCAAACCGAGGTCCCTCGCAAATTGAGGCGGCTGAATCCAGCAGAGCCCCGTGTCAGAGGCAAAGTTTAATCTTTGATGCCGGCGACACATCGGGCCAAAATTGATTTTTAAAGTTATCAGAGAGTCGGCTTCTGTGATTTATGCAAAGAGGTTGGCAACTTTTGCTGGGGTTTTGTCTTAACAAATCGGGTCAGGGTGCAGAGTGCAAAACCGAAACAAAAACACAACTCAAAGCCCCACAAAAGTGAAACAATGCCCATCCATCATTCCGCTATCATTGGGTTTTACATTTATATACAGAGAAAAAAAATACAAAAAATGACTTTTCATTACATTATTCTCATTATTATTGGGGACCCTTCATAAAATGCACTTTAAAAAATTGTAATTTAATTTAAAATGGTTAATAACAACAGAAGACACCGCCAGATGGCGCATCAATGGAATTGTAAATAACGCCATCTGTTATTTTGAGATTCGTTAAAAGAATAACGGGTTTCTGATTAAAGTGGCACTGGAATATAGCGATTCTTCATATTTTAAATTTAAAAAACATTTTATATTTCTCAAAACTGAAACTGAAATTTAGTTTTAAATTACACTCTTTCTAAAATCAGTAGGTTTACATGCTAACATTATTTTTATTAACAATATTAATCCTTGTAAAATCCTTAACCAATTTTTATATGAAAACAAAGCCATTTTTTGTCGCGGTGCACCCACTCCTCGATGATTGTCACCAGTACTTACCCACCTTGGTTGGTTCATTAATGGGACCTCTTCGATTCCGATTCCGATTCTGATTCCGATTTTTGTTTCTTCTTTTTTCGAGTCCTCTTCCTTTTGTTGAGTCTTTGTTGCTGCTGCTGCTTCTGCCTCTGCCCCCCGCCGTACATTTATTTTAGCAATTTGTTTGCCTCTCGGTTAGTTTGTTGTTTGTTTGTTTGTCTGCTGCTTGGTTGGTTTGCTCAGCTCACACACACCTAAACACTCGCGAAAAGTACTTGGGCACAGTATCTGTATCTGTACCTGTACCTGTATCTGTATCTGTATCTGTATCTGCTCCTGACGAGGACCCCGTACTTTTCCCCAGTTCCGTAACTGAGTTGGGTCCTGCCAGAAGGAGCCACGCGCTCGGTTCGAGTACGTAAATGAGTTTATTGCCGGCAATAAGCGAACTTAATGCGCCTGCACGAGAGGCATCGATGCAATATATCATCTGGATTCGAGTCGTTACCTTGAAAGAGACAGAACACAGGTAAGCGGTTAGTGATGAGTCGTTGCTTCTATATATAGCTTAAAAGGTTTGCACTACTGTCATATTTCATCAACGCCAAAAAGGCCCAAGAATCGAACTTTGAAACTCAAACGCACAGTTTTACCACATAAAAGCCGCTATAATCGAGTTTTAAAATGGCTGTTTGTGGCTGTTCGTGTAAAGATTTAAAAGATATTTTTATAAATAATAACTGAATGTGCTGACGTTGAATTTTTAATACAGCTTCCATTATGAAATTGACCCATTTATGGAAAAAACACTTAATTTCAAGGTAAATTTAATGGTTAAAGTGAATTGCATAAAAGACCAGATTATTTTTAGTGCTCAAATGCCAAGTGTATTTATTTAAAGCACTTGTCAATAGAACTTAAGCATTGGTTATTATAATTAAGACTGTTAAAAATTAGTTCAACTGAATAAATTAAAATAAGTTTCCTGCCCATTTCATAAAATTCTCTTAAACATACTTAGATTAAATCGAAATATACCAAATGAAAGACCTGTCACAGTTTATTCCATATCGTGTTCTTTTGAACAAATATAAAGTCAACAAGAGTAAACACGAAGGCCCGGAGAACCCACAACACAATTACGGGTTACTTGCTTGGCGTGTGTACTCCGTAGTCAGATTACTCATTTCACGGACAAGGTACAAGTAGCAACGGCAATTCAAGACAGCTGCCGCCGCAATTTTTATGGAATCTGGAGGAGCTAGGGAGGATAATAAAGCTTTTAAATCCAGCAACCAACCGCCACAAAAAATACAACAAATTAATGTGGTAAACAAGAAGATTGGTGCACTGCAGAAGATATATTTAAACCAACGTCTCTAAACTTACAAATTGGTTGTACACACAATTTTGCAGTATTCGATGGTTGTAGTAATGACAAATATATATAGAATTAACTTGGATAAAATCTATATTATACTAAACCCATTTTAGGCCTACTCATTGAAATATTTTCACTATACTTCTTGAAATTCGAGTTAATTAAATGGCATTTGCACTGTATTTAAATTACTCAAGCTAGTAATTAAGAATAATTAGGCTTTTAGTACATTCCTTTTGCTTATATTCCAAATTATTTATTAATTGCTTAACTTTCCCCCAATTAGACTAGAAAATGAATATGTAAATTATAATTCATCCGTAATTCCCTCAAGATTGTTCGCTCCAAATTGTTTGATTAAATTACTGGAATTCATAAGTCGTAAAACGTGTAAGCGAGGTGTTGGAGTGTAGTGTGTAATAATAGAAAGAGCTAAGCACACTGTTTTTATCGACCATGCACAACCCCATTTCCACAAATCCCAACCAACCTTCTCCCATGTGTCCCACCCAGAATGTTATGCAAAACAAAAATTCAATTTCAATTCAATTAATCACGCTTGATTAGCACCAATAATGGCCAACGCCAACAGGCGGGGCAACAGCATCAGGCAACAGACATCGACCAAAGGACATCCAGATGGCAGGACTCTGACAGCGGAGACTAGAGAGCTGCTAGTCCTCGATTCCTCGATTTCTCGATTCCCCAGTGCAATCCACAGCCACTCTGCCTTTTGTCCTTGGCTTGCAACTGCTTTCGAGCCGCTTTTTGTTTACCACTTTGCACATTCTGCTGTCAAATTTGTTGATTTATAGTTCCCGATGTGCCTCGGCCAATGGCGGCGGGGGCGTGGCAGGGCGGGGAGCGACTGATGACAGGCGGGCGCCAAGCAAAAGCTCAGGGAACGCCAAAAAAAAGGCTGCCAAATGCGCTACAGTCGAGTGCTCCGACCTAAGGATACCATGTTCACAAATCTATAGTTATACAAAAAAATTATAACTATACTATAATTAAGTTAAATATTCAATATAAATTCTAAGTGCTCAAATATAATTTATTAAAAATTTTTAAAAGACACATTACATTCTACAAAAACTTTTCATAAACGTAAATGTTCAGTTCAATTTTAAAACCCAACTATAGAAACTCAGGCATCTTTGGAAGTTAACTGTTACAAAGTTAATTAATACTGACAAACTAAACTGGAAAGTGGTAAAAATAAATTATTAAAATTTAAAATAAAAATTTTAAGATACAAAATTTTACGATTTTCAGTGTGTATATTTTGATTATTCAAATTTATTAGAAATAGGTTTATTAATTGCAGACGATTACTTAACAACCAATTGTACAAATAGTTTGAAAATGTATTTCTACAAGCTTTGTATTTGTATACAAGTGTAATTAGGTTTACAATTTGAAGAATTCCTAAGTGGCCTGTTTTTAATCAAAAGTTACTTTCTTTATGCTGACTTAGCATATTCACGATTTCTGTATACCTCGGTGTTCCCCGAGTAGGGGGTATACAAAAATAGGGAAAAACCAAAACCTCGAAAGCAAAAACCAAACCCGGCGATAAAGTCAAACTACAAAGAACACCGAGGGAAAAAGTCTGCCAGCAATTTCAATGACAATGCGGCAGTTTGTTGCCAGTTTGCCAGCCAGTTCTCCACTTGCCTTTTGTTGTGGTGCAGTTTTCCGGCCCTTTTTTTTGGGGCATTGGGCTCGACGAGTGCGAATTGTTTTTGTCAGAATGCGATTACTTAGGTACCTGAAATAGTTTGCGGTCTCAATGGCTGTGAGGCACTGTGCCTGTGTCGTCCGTCGTCCGTCTGCCGTCGATAAATCCAGTCGAGTGCACACTGTCGGAAGTGTGGGTCCACACAGAGCAAAGATTGGATCCACCCGCTGGCATACAAATGTCCGAGTGTCCAGTTTGGGCCAGTCCAGTTCACTCCAGTATCCAGTACCCGTATGCGCCGGAGATCCGCAGACGACCGCAAACAAACGCCGCTCATTTGCAGGCGGCTCGCATCGACTTCTGGTTGGGTCGCCGTCGGATGTCAGGAACGATGTGCCGATGTCCAGATGTCCAGATGTGCAGATGTGTTTGATGAGGCCGGAGATAATCGTTTGGCAATCGAATGAGCCCCACATGTCGGATTTTGGGTTGGCGCAGGCAGAGCAGAAATTTTTTGGCAGGTTCTTTGCCTCTGACAACACAGCAAACATCATTTCAAAAGTTTAGGGGGTCAAGTAATTTAAGTTGAGAAAGGTAATAATGGTGGGTTATGAACTATGAAACTTTTCGGGTCGATATTCTCAAAACTAACCCCCAAAATACTACCTAATATTGTTAAATATTAATAAAAACAAATAATTGAAATATCAATTATCAAGATACCAAAAACATGAAACATATTTACATAAATTTAACAAAAATGTATCTAATATATAAATAGAGACCTTAGGATACAAAAACGTACAGAGAACATAAGTAATACTATATTACAGCTGATATCGATTCCCTTTAAAATAAATGTTTTACACATGTAGACATTTAAAGAGTTACAAATGGAAAGGGTAATAAATAATTCTTTACTAATACTCCCATAAGCGGATTGCCCGGCTCGCCATTTTCATTGAAGTATTTTAAATGGTGCTAATTTATGTTTTGGGAATTTATGTTTTTGGAGACAAAATATTCTGCAAAATGTTTTTATATACCTAATGGAATTAAAAGCAAACTTGAAACCTTTTAAATGAAAAATATATGTTTCAGAATGTACTCTAAATTATAGTAAAAGTTTTTCAGATGCAACAATAAAAGCTTATTTAATTGTAGATAGCCCAGTATAAAAACCAATTGGAGTAAACATATGTTAAATTAATCAACAAATATTTCCACATTGACAAAATGCGATTCTAACAACATTCTCTAATTGATTGCCAGCCTAAAGTGTGTTGGTGTGATTACGTTTGGTTTAACAGGAAGTCTTATGGGAAATATTTCCGACATGGCCCGACTGCAACTGGGCCACTCACAAATGTTCAAATTTGCAAATTGAATGGACCTACTTTCGGGCGGCTTTAGCCCCATTGCAATGGCCATTGTACGAGAACGTTGACCAGAGCGGATTGTGGAAGGGTCCTGGGGGGCGTCCATAAATAACGGCAAAACAGTCAGATAAATTTGCAGGAGCTATAAACAAGCTACTCCGGCGGACTCCCCAATCCCGCACTCCCGGCGAAATCGATTTAAATGCTCCGTTTGCGTGTTCTGTGTTCTGAGTCCGCCGGTTACCTTGAAGTCTTTATGTAATTTGTACACAGTAATAAATACGATCCTATATTGAATTGGATGTCTCGGGCTTAATTTGATCCTTGGCAATGATAAGGTTGTTATACCTCAGCTTGCATAACTTTGATTGAAGCTCACGTATCGATATCGAAAGACATGACCTTTGCCAATTATTAATAATAATAAATTATTGTGGTTGTTATTAGAGCAATATGAGAAATAGCTAATCAAACAAATCGAGCTCACATAGATTTTAGCCATAATAAATTTAACTTCTAACCATTAAATTTAGTTTTTGTAGTCCTTTTTAAATTACAAAATAATTTCTTATCAGAATGCTGTATTTCTGAGACCATGGTTTTGCAAATGGCTGTGTTAAAGTATTGCGCTTCTTTTTTTCTAAAGACACAATTGATATGTTACAAAGCTGACGCCGACTACTCATAATTATTTCTCCATGTGCATCGCAGTCCGGCAGTCGCATTGTGTCCCGGTTTGAGCCGCCGCCGTTAAGCGCCGTTTCCATGCTAAATAGCCCGACACGTGGCATCTGCCGTCCTCGCTTCCACCGCGTGCACCATTTCGATTGGCGCTTGATAAGCCGCAAGGACGAGCCGGAGTCCTGGACACCGGAACGGAGGACCTGCTGATAAGGATGGACTCCATTCAACCGACCACGCCGACGTGTTTTGATGGTTTCCCCAGCCCGGGAATACGCTTTCCGTGTGCGATGCATTGCTTTCGAACAAACAGATTTCACCGATTTTACCGCCACTAAAAAGCTCGGGACAACCGCACGCAATGATAATTACGGACTTACAGCGAA